CCCCCCCCCTCTCTCTTTCCATGTCTGCGATTCGACGATTCCATATCTTTGCACGTGCCGCCCAGTTACAGCAATCGCAATTCCCGGATAGATGAGACTCGACAAGCGGATTGCACGCTACGCGTGCTTCTTTCGGAACTGGGAAATGATGTCAACGGGCCTGTCAGTTTGACGCCGAGTAAAATACCTGATTTGACGTCTACATTAATGGTTTCCCAATATGCTGGGAAGTATTTAATTGAATCAGATAGACGAATGGTTTGGCTTCTTATTTCGTAGTCCGTACATTCTCACAACAGTGAGATCATTTTATATTTTCGACCAGCTTCTTTGCTTAATAAAAACTATACGTCATGTAAGAGGGACGCGCCACCGCCCGTCCCGCTCATTATTGAAGAGATTTTTTTTTTGTCTTTTTGAAAGTTGCAGAAAAGAGGGGATAAATTAGGTTGGGCGAGACGGAAGACGAAGTCATTCCTACGCCGTCGACCCCTTGTTTGTCTGCGAGGCCCATGCCCCAGTTGGAGCTCCCTTTGGCCGGCCGTTCCTGCGCCACTGACCAGAGGCATTAGGCATGGGTCCTCAGTCTCCGCCTCGCCCCCCCTCCCCCTCGCGATATGCTGACAACCAGGCGATAAGAAAGAGGCCACGTCCAAAAGACACATGGTTCGGTTTGTCGGAAGGGTTAAAAGAGTAACGGTATCAATTAGCAGAATCACCATAAGGAAGCTTCATTCAAGTTACCATTAAAATTAATTAAGCCAATACTTTTTTTGTATTCTTTCATTTATTTTTAACATGTTACATAAAATAGAAATGGTATAACAATTCTGCTTGAACAAAGAGATAGTCAAGCATTGATGAGTTTTTTTTTCATAAGAATATAAAATAAGACTTTTCATGTAACTCTCTTGAAACTCACACACACCTATGATCATACTCACGCACACACACACACACGCACATTATACAACAGAAGCAACAATTACTACATAGATCCTGTTTGTCAATAATTTAAAAATTCAATAGGTGAAAAGTTACACAATCTTTAGAATTCAGTTCTTCAATTTTATTGCAAATTTATTAGTAATCAAAGAATAGAATTGTATAAATAAGGACATCAAATTGCAAAGGTATACCTTTCACACAAGTTTTACTTAACTTCCTCTCAGGTTGAATAAGGAATTTAGAACCTAAGTGGCCTCATTGGCTGCGTGAGTACAGTCCCATCTCACAACCACTCACATCAGATAAATGAGTGGGAGTGAGATGAGAGTTAGTTGAAATATGGCTTAAGCATCCGTGTGGTATCAGAACTGCCCCTAATATAGAATACATTTTACAGTGTCACAATGCCATCTAGATAGGTACATCTTTCTCACCAAAGCAATAACTATGTTTTAACAAAACAAGATTTAAAGCGCCAGAATATCACCATCAGCCACAAACATTTTTAAATTATTCACACTCCAGTATAAACCAGAGTTGTGAACTACAAGAGACCAAACATAAGGTATGAAGAATTCTTCAGGTTTGTCTTCTTCCACATATTTAAACTTCAAATCAGGAAACTTCTGTTGGAAAAGAATACAGTTTTGTAAAAATATGTGCTGTAAACATGAAAGGGGAGAACCCTTTTTTTATGCAAAAAATCTACAGAAAAAGTAAGGCTCACCTTGAGGCGCTCTCGGGGCCATTTCAAAGCACCATGTTGAATAGTAGCCAAAACTTCATTTTCCCCTAAATCAGAGCTACCCTGTTCCAATTTACTTGTAAAGTAGTTGATAACCTGAGAAAATTAAGAACATACACAGTAAATCATAAATCCTCATCACCCAATTGCAAGTTGATCAAACCCCAAAACGCCTTCTAAAGTCTGAGTACATTGAGCTACTAATCCCAATTTAAATTTCTTATACACAACTCACAGCATCAATATTATTGATTATGTCCTCAAATGCAGGGTGAGTGCGGAAAGGTTCAAAAACACTCCGTTTGTACAATAATGTGTAGAGTAGATTTGGATTATGCTGAAGTTGATGTGAAAGACCAGAGTTGATAATCTCCAGTACCATTCTTAATACCTCTTGCAAAACACTCAAATCTTGAGCCTGCAAAAATATGGCAATGCGAAGGTGAAGTGCTTCCATCATTCATGTCAATATGTGCAAACTGAGCAAACTTTACCCTTACCAGATCTGGGGCAACGTCTGCAGTCTGTGTTTCACGTTGTTCAAGAGATGTTGTACTTTTTTCAATGCTTGAAACCTGCCCATCTACATTAACTTTTGTATCAACAGGTAGAGAATTGGGTTTTGGAAGCGTTTGAGCAAGTTTTATCCGCTCTTCAAGACGCATATATTTTCGAGCAAGAGTCTCAAAAAGGCTTACAATACGCTGACTTACATAAGGATGTAAACAACGAAATTGACCGCTCATATTAGCTAAGGCTGCTAAACAATTTGAATGCAGGTATTTGTCCTGATAGATAAGAAAAGTTAAAAGAGAGATAAGTTGAAAATAGATTTACAAATTTAAATGCATTAAAAAGTTTACCAACTTACCCTCATCTTAAGCATGTTATACTGAATACTTCGTATGATGACAAGAATAAGTAAGCCTCCAAGTGAAATTTCTGATATGGCCCTTTCAGTGTACCAAGAAACACCTTTCAGCATCTAAAACATTTTGAGGAGAAACACTTGAAATATAAGATATATTTGTCTGTTACTGAAACAAAAGTGAAATATACTCACAACATCATGAACAGTCTTGGTGAACAAATCATCTTCACTCAATATTAATATAACTATAAGTGACATGTATATATGATGGGAATTACTGTCTGGTGCATGATATAAAGTTCTTAAAATGGGTACTAACTGGAAAAAAAGGGTAAAACATGTCACATGCTACAACAAGTACATAGAGAAAACAAATGAGATGTACACACGGCATTACCAATTGTTCAATATCTGATCTTGAAATGACATAAGTTCGAAATTGCTGATTCCTATGTAGAAGCATGTATAACAAAAGAGTAGTTTGGTCGCTATTGGGAACATGGCATAGAGCACTATATAGTGCCCCTGTATCGAGTTTAAACGTGGAAGCAGCATTTGTCGGAGCTGATGTCATACCATCATCATCTGAAATTAAGCAACAAATATGAGGAGAGAACACATCATAATATTTTGTTCAATTTCCTATAAAGACATTAACTCTCGGACAAAGTCTATTTTGTCCAAGAAAACAAATCTTTTTACCTTTCTGAGCAGCAGAAAAACTGAAGAGGGCTTGACGATATGGATTTTCCAATGGACCTTTTTCTGAAGTACAATGGTTTACCAAAACCAATAGGAGAAGAAGTGACTGTCCAGCTAAAGGTGCTCTGCTGTGTAAAGCTTCTCTTGCTTTTTGGCGCTCTTCTGGGGTGGTTGCAGCTTCAATTGCCATTTGGAGCTCGTCAGTCTCATTGCTACGACCATAGCCCAAAGTCACAATGCTCCAAAGACCGGCTGGGGGAAACAAGCCCACAACATTTAATTCATGGCAGAAGATTGTGTTTTAGACAATAGGAACTACAAACACCTAATTTGTTCATTAACATAGCCTAAGAAATTTTGGAAAAAAAACTATTTCTACAAAAGCAAGGTAGATTTCTACAAAAAAACATTGGCTTAGGGTAGAAAGCTATCACAAGGATGGACAACTAGAACAAAAATAAGCACCAGAAAATTTTAAAAAAGTTTTCAGATAGGTTACAAATTGTATGAATCTTTAAAATTTAATGCAAGGAAAAATTAAAAAAACAAAACAGCTGGAATAGTTTGAAACATAAGGAAACAATGACTGAATTGCTGAGTTAAAGATGCTAAAAGTTAGGTGACGGCTGTGCTGACGAATTGTGTTTCCTATTTTTAAGAGCTTTGGGAAAGGTTAACGGTTGTGTGATCAATGACCAAGATTCTTGCACGATTTCCTATCGAAATTTTTAAGTGCAAGTATGTATGGAGATATGTATGTATTGTTAGGAGCAAACCTATGCTTACAAAATTGAGCCAGAAGCATACACAGAAATACGAACATGCTGGTTCCTCTTTACAATTACAGTATCTCCAATTTGATTAACAACCTCCGCAAGCCACATCACACAACTCACCATAGATAGATGAGAAAACTCCTCCGAAAGCTTACCAAGAAAAACAAAACATGAATTTAGATTTCTTTGACAAACTCAGCAAAAACAGTCACAAACTCAATCAATTGATTATGTAATTCAATTGATAAAAGTTGACTAGAGAGATAGATATTAAATATAAATGGTACTTTTACTTCCTTGACAATTCACCATACCCGAGTGGTTTCAGAATTTTAATTGAGCGCAGTGAGCTTATTTCCACCTAAATGCGAGTAGATTATTCTCGAATATAAGTGGAACTGTTTTAAATACTATATATACTCACAGGCAAGACCTAAAACTATGCTTCCACCTTGTCCATCGTGATTAAGAAACCCTGGCGGGACTTTAGTCTGTTGTATGAAATGTTGGAGAAGTGTCTTCATTAGAAGTGGTGAATGTATGGAGTTACGGCCTTGCATTAAGCTTCTGAAAACAGATTAAAACCAAACATGAGTAATTTTTCAACAAGAAACAATTTTATTCCCCACAAAAGCTTCAAAAGCATAAACTCATACCTATAAACAAGTAGCTTCTCTGCAGGCTGAGTAGAAAACATTTGAATTGACAGTAAAACTAGAAGACTGTTGATAGCTTCTAAGTGCAAGATGTATGTAAAATCTCTGTAAATAAATACTTTTATGTAATTGATGGCAAAAATGAAGTGACAAACCATTCATTAAATTTTGTCGTTGGTGTTTAACTCACTTGAGAGGAACATCCACAACAATTTCAATTAGGGCATCTATAAAACTATCCAAGTTGCTGACAGTCTCTTCACTGGTCACAGCACCTAGTCCAAGATTTAAAGAGAGTTACATTAAAGCTAATTAAAATAATCTCCGCTACAGGAGATAACAAATACAATCCAGTGGTTTTATTTTACTTGATTGAACAGCTGGATTTGCTTCAAATTGTTGAAGAATTTCCTCTTCATTATATGTTTCTACTAAGTACTTGGTAACACATCGTATGACAAACAAAGCATTGTATGTTTGCCAAGAAAGTTGAGTGCTGTAAATAAAAATTGTTCATTATTTTAAATTTTGTTTATGCATTTGTTCAAAATAAGCACTATGGTTGCTTATTTTAAACTATGGCTGAATACTTTTCATACTTGTCTGTTTCAGTAGATGATAGAAGTTCTCGTGTCTTTTTCAAGAAAACCTTTAGAAGAGTTCCAAAATTGCCAGTTTTTAAATTGTTGACTGTGAGAACCTCATAACAAGGACGCAACTTGGTGTCCAGGGTTCGATGATCAGAGCTAGAAACATGAACAAAATATGAAAGCTTGTAAGATTGGGCCATCGACAACTACTGAGCACATCAGAACAGTTGTGGTTGCGTTTACAAAAAGAACACATGTTTTTCGAAAGACTCACCCTGTAGCGGGAGGAGATATAGAGAAAGCAAGGAATTTGTCCCAGAAAGGATTTTCAATTAAAATAGGATCTGGCCCATAGAACTGAGTTAAATATTCATTGTTGGACAGATCCCCATGGCGGCTTGTTGACGTCCCCATATTTTGTCACCAAAATGTGTCAATCTCTTCCAATCACAAAACCCAAATTAACATAGCAGAGCTTTTGAAAATCTTGAAATAAAATTAGAAGACTCAATTCTGTCAAAGCAGGTTAAGTGGTCTTCTACTGTCAAGCAGCATTTACTATGACATTACAAACGGGATTTACACAAATGTACACCTTCACATTTGAGGCATTACCAGCACTCTATGAACAGTAACTTGTGATAAGCTTAATCTTTTCAAAAGTGCAAAAGCTAGCAAAATTTACAACAATATATAAACTCTTGCCACGGATGAACCCGCAGCCCTCTCTTTCTCTTTCATTAGGCGATGGGCGGGCGGTGAACTTCAGATCAGAATCAAATTAGACAACCTACGGAATGTAATAGTAACTAGTACTTTATGTCACATCACTGTAAAAGACTGAAAATCATAGATTAATATTTGAATTAAATTGATCAAAACAAAATAAAAGCCTCAGATCCATTGTGAAATTATAATTTTCATGAATGTTTGAGTGGTTAAGCAGGTGTGAAGTCTAGTGTGAGGGAGAGAGAGCGCGCGAAGCGGCAAAATAAACGAGAAGGAAAGAGAGAGATAGAGAAAATGTGACTGTAGTACATGTGTGTGTGACTTGTGGTGTGGGTGTGACTTGTGATTCTGGACTGCTGCTGCCCCCTGTATTTGGCATGAACTTTGCACAGTGATCGGTGATTTGTTTGCAGAGGAACCTAGTTCGCACATTTTCGTCCACCTGAATTGAAGGGAATTTCTTCAAAATGTCGGAATCATCGGAAAACCAAAGTCAAACCAAAACTAGCCCCATAAAATATTTTATCTCAGGTGGTTTTGGAGGTGTCTGCACAGTACTTAGTGGTCATCCTTTGGATACCATTAAAGTTCGTCTACAAACTATGCCTAAACCTGCTCCAGGCCAATCGCCTATGTATGCGGGAACTTTCGATTGCTTAAGCAAAACGGTCAAGCAGGAGGGCGTGAAGGGGTTATACAAAGGGATGGCTGCTCCTTTGACCGGCGTCGCCCCCATCTTTGCCCTCAGTTTCTTTGGATTTGGTCTTGGCAAGCGACTTCAACAGTCATCAGAAGGAGAGGACTTGTCACTCATTCAACTTTTCTACGCTGGAGCATTTTCTGGAGTTCTTACTACTGTTATTATGTCTCCTGGAGAACGAATCAAATGTCTGCTACAAATTCAACAGGCTGGTACAGGACCTGCAAAATATGCAGGTCCGAAAGACTGTGTAAGGCAGCTTTACAAAGAAGGAGGTCTTCGCAGTATCTACAAGGGGACTGTGGCCACTCTACTTAGAGACGTTCCCGCCAGTGGCATGTACTTTATGTCTTATGATCTCATCCAGCGTAGCTTAAAGAAAGAAGGACAAGAAATTGGATTATTGTCTACAATTTTTGCTGGTGGTATGGCCGGTATTGCTAATTGGGCGGTTGGAATGCCTGCTGATGTTATTAAAAGTCGCCTTCAAACTGCACCAGAAGGCACTTATCCCAATGGTATCAGAGATGTTTTTGGTAGCCTTCTCAAAGAAGATGGACCTCGAGCGTTTTACAAAGGAGTTGTTCCTGTTATGTTGAGAGCTTTCCCAGCAAATGCTGCCTGTTTCATTGGATTTGAAATTGCCATGAATGCCTTAAATTTAGTAGCACCTAATCTGTAGTGAGTGACTTTAATGTACTAGTCCACATGCAGTTTTAAATCAGGCATGACAGTTTTCACATTAGTGTAAAGTCATATCTGCATGCTTCAAATAAACCAGTCAGGTAACAATTTAAGAAATTTTGTGATCATAAGAATGGCTGTGCCTTGGGTACCTTTCAGTTAAATGTCTTATTGCCACCTTTATGTCAAACATCTCCCGTTTTGTTTTTTTTATCATGAACTTAACTGCTACTGTTGTTACGCTTTAGGTTAAACCTTGAAAGAGACTGTCCTTGCCTGTTGCTGTGAACTCTTTTATAACTCGAAACCCTTACAAACATGTGTGCAAGTGTAAGAGCCAAGGTGTTTCTCTTTAGGTCAGTATTGAAATGTGTTCTCAACATATATATTTTTACCTTTTTTTTTTAACTTTACCTAAGACGGGGACATGCTGTTTGTTAATAATGTTTGTTAATAAATTATATTTTTGTAATTGTTCTGTATCTAATATTCCTAAATGTCTGATTTATACTCTCAAAGTGCCTTTCATTTTTTAATCCAATATCTGTGTGTATATTGTATCCGTTTCTGTCCAATTTTCTTGCCTCTTACTTTTACCAGAGGGGTTTTAAGACACAAAGATACTCAAGTCTGATCTAATTCTGTCTCATTTTCGATTGCATGTACTTTAGTGATTTCGCATCTGAAGTGCTTGTTTTTAGTTGTGCCCTTTTGGCCCCTTGTAACCTACCTTCCTACTGTATTATTAACACACTAATCAAGTCAATGTCTTGTTATAACTTGAGTCAATCGTATTTCTGTTCAAATGGAATTTTTCTTGTATTTTATAACACTGTTACATTGGAAATAAATTTAAAACTAACTGTTGAAATGTTTATTTCAGTTCGAATTGGAGGAAGGAAAAATAAAAAAAGGTTGACGAGTCACATTTAGTTTTTATGAACAAAGGCAAAGATTATGTCCTGCTATGATACACAAAATACTCATAGTGCTTATTACACAACTGTGGTCAAAATGATCATAAGCCATTGCATGCTTTCCCCTGTGGCTTCGATAGAAAAATATTTTTAGGCACAACCACAGAAGAACAGTAAGATAGCATAAATAATGAGTATGTGTCATGTTTCAAACATGCTTCAAAAACTAACATGCATTAGTACACTTAAGTATACTCTGTACTACTTAAAAGGATTACCTCTATGGTAACCATCTTATTTCCACTTTTAATAACTGGTGTAATTATATCTTGAGAAGCATCAAACTTTGCCCCTTACTTTTGATAAACACCAACATGCATAAAAAAAACTTGGCCATCACACCATACAGAATATAGTAAGCTATGTTTTCTCTGCCAGTTTGGCGATAGGATCTCTTAGGCACAGCAACACAACAAACAGAAATCTTCAAAAAAATGAACATGACAAAATTTTAGATGAAATAAAAAGTCAACAAGACAATCCATCAATTAGGCTTAAGTGCTGAAGGGCATGCAACAGAAAATAACTTGATTTTTGACCACATTGCACTAGTTTTCACCTAATCTAAAATTTAACAGCAAATCACTAAACCAGTGAAACAAACATATTTATAAAATTAGTTTCACATGAAACCTGATAAGGTTTTTATGGGTTGAAACATAGCTTAGGAGTTGCGCATGAAGGATAGTTAAAATGAATAAGAGAGGAAGTTCTTTTGTCTGTTGCCAATAATAATGAAAGAGAAATAGAAAGAGAAAATGATGCAAAATGAAAATTCTTTGCAACACTTGAACTAAATGTTAAAATAACTTAACAAGTAAGGACAAATTTTTTACAAGAGGGCAAGTAAAGACTGACTAGTTTGATGCAACCACTCATTTTCAGAAGACATACATATGAATATATCCAGCACAACCAGAATCATACATAAACATGGTTGAGTTGCAAATCATAGCGCCACACAGTTCAAGGCATCTATAGATAGATACACTGTTAATGTAATACTTCATTCCCAATGGTGAAAGATTATTACATTTCAAAAAGAAACAATAAATAATCAGAATTTAAAAACCAATCAAAATTATGTTTAGAAAATTGAACTAGTGTTCATAACAGTGAAACTGTATAGTAGGAAAATTAAGTGATGTATTGAATACATTACTTTGTAATAAAAATAATATCTAAGGTAAAGAAAACACATTAACATGGAATGTATGAAAAGCGCGCGTGGGAAACATTCAATATAGGTGATGGGAAGGCCTGATCATCAACCAAACAACATTGGGCCTACTACAACACATCTGTACATGTTGATTTAATCAACCTGGAGTTGCCTGATGATCAATTAAATCTTGGTGAAGCCAGTAAAGCTGAAGCCATGCTGTCATTTTTTGGGAGTAATCTGATTGTCTGCAACAAGCTTGAAGCTGTCTTCCATTCTCATTCCGCCAATCAGTTTACTCAAAACAAATAACGAGGTGGCTTCAGCTTCACTGGCTTCACAGAGACTAAATTGATCATCACATATAAGTTTCTAACAAAGACTGGCCAATTCACAACGCAATTAGTTCATCATAAATATTGACTAAAATCAAGCTTCAAAGAGGGAAAAAAACAAGAAATAATAACAGGATAGAAATACATTAACCATCCACAACAATTGGACATTTTCACTCTCACACACATTAATGAGAAAAGATATTGCTAGCTGTTTCCAAATTTAGCTCTTAACATGATTTATTACTGGTCATCGTTGTTGTCAAAAATATGAGATGAAGGACGGTTTTTGAAAATGGATGGATTTTGTAAAGACAAAGGACATTTGAAGCATGAGCCTAATTTTAGATTCACCAATATTATTTGAAATTTAATTGATATTTTAATCAAATTTTAATTGAAAAGGTATCAAGCACTTGGTGTCTTCCTGCTAATCTACAAAACAGGGTAAAAATAAAAAGCGGACGGTAAAAATACAAAGTCACAATAATGGAGTCCTAATACCGTTAAACTTTGCATGAGTAATTATTTACACACAACCAATTTCTTCGATCTCATACAAAAAGTAACAGGACAGTACAAAAACACATGTTTTTAATTTACTAAAAATCTCTTACCTACATAACTGGATGGATACAGGTTCCCCACCATAAAGTAATATCCACATCTTCATTGCTTGGGCTAAAAACTATCAGTTTAGATGAAAAGAGAGCTTTACTGATGGCAGTTAAAAACATGCAATCAATGAATAGGATGATTTAGAGGAATGCCATGAAAGTGGATAATTAACCGGAAGACAAATAAGCACTAACCTTAAAGAAAGACATTGACCTTTAATTATCTATCTTGTCCTAGCTGCCATTTCTTAAAATATAAAGATTAAGAACATTTTGTTCATGTATTGCTTCACGGTTGGCAACTGACTGGCAAGACGTCAGATATATAAAAATGTGCAAGTTGAAATGGTTGAAAAGTACATTAAAACCATCAAATTTGTCACTCACAAGATATATGATAAAAGATTGGCACAACAAAATGAAGGAATAGAGCACCACTTAAAAATTATCTACGCAGAAAAAATGAAAATGGCAGGTAAATGTAAATCATAAAAACAATGAAATGGAATTGTACCATACTAGCTGTTTGTACCAAAACACCAGTAAAATGCACCTCCAATCATCCTCAGAAATGATGATAACAGTCAGTTAGTTTGAAGATAAAGATATCTTAACTCACATTGGCACAGAATAATAATGACATAATAATAATAATGACTAATTACTTAACACTAATAGATATAAAATTATACATATCCTTTTGCAAAGGATTTAAATGATAATTCTATTGACATTATCACCCGTCAAAATCCACCTCAATGCTGGCAACACATTTGTGCCACACAGGCCATGTTATCACAAAGTGTGCGCTGAGTTTAAACCAGCAATTTAATAATATCATGTATAATAGCACCTCAAGGCAACAGATTTCTCCAAAACAAATACATAGTTAATAGATTCTGACATATTGCTAACACCTTCAAGATCCTCCTCAAGTAAAATTCTTATAAAAGATTAATAGACCTAGACATAATATAAAATATTCATTCGTATGAAAAAAATAAAAAGGGTTCCTAACACATCTCAATTGCTACCAACAATAGCAAAACTCATATAACTGCATCATTGCTGCTGACTTTTAAAAAATTGTCACTAATCTGATACTGAATATGAAATTATAACTTTTAAATTGATAGGAATTAAAGATGTTAAATACTTTGCTAAGGTAGTATAGAATATGTTTACCCAACGAGGGTGGTCAAGATAATCACAACCCTTCTACAGCCTAGCAAACCAATTGAGCACCATCATCAGGTGTGGGCACCTGAGGAGAAAGTTTGAACCTTAGTTATGCAGGATAACTGGAGATTTGATTTTTAAAGAAATAAAAATACATACATTTTGAATTAATAATAGGAATTAGATCACAATTCCTCTCTGCTACCCGCGAGGGGGTGTGGTTGAGAGGGAATATCATCACCACGAAGCAACCCCTTCTTTTCTTCACTTGTGGTACCACTTGCAGTCGAGGCACCAGAATTATACATAGACTCATACATTGGATTGGAGAAATTGCCCTAAAGAAAGCAGAGTGAAGTTCAGATTATTTCATTACTTAAGAGAACGGTGACAGTATTATTCGGTGAGCACCAATAAGAGATTCATACCTTTACAACAGAGTCAAGAGTGAAATTGTCTCCATCATCATCAAGATCCTCTCGTAAATACATGGGATTACTAATTTCCACATTTTCAGTCATACGCTGGTGCAAAAATGACTTTCCACTGCAAAGATGTTTGCAAACAATACAGTTTAGTGAAAATACAGTGCACTCTAATGAAAAGTTATTACTTCCGCGATCCTAAGAAAAATATGTTACGGCGCATGTCCGGCGGCGGAGAATGTCAACATTCACCCTTGAACGAAGAGTTAACTCTTTCGTTCAAGATTCACCGGCGGATATCCAGGTTAGCACCTTTGGCGAATTTGACTTTCGCCAGTGACAGACCGGGGAATGTCCAATTAACTTTTAGATAGATTCGGATATTCGTCGGTGACCTCAAGCGATTCGGACTTTCGCCGCCGAATGTCCGTGTCCGACATCCGCCGTAACAGATATATTACATACCCTCGACGCATTCGCTTTGTGACATAATAAGCAGCTGCAACTCCAAGTAGCAAAATTATTAGTATGGTAACTGAAACTATCACAGCAGCTGATGTCCCTCCACTATTACTTCCATTCACGGATGCAGAGTTACCAATTACTGCTGTTTGACACCGTTTCCCAGTATAATCAACAGGGCATCTGTGATAGTGAGAAAAAAGATAATAATTTAACTTTTCTGTGTCATTAATTTTGCTTTACACTATGTTCCCAAACTACAATAAGTTTTAAAGGCAAAAACTTACATGCACGTTGGTTCAAGGTCTTCATCAGTATCAGGACAGTGACCTGAATTCAAGCAATAACCAGGCTTGCAGTGGGAAGTTTTTTCACAGCGTGTTCCAAACCAACCATCAAGACAAGAGCATGATGGATCTCCAGTACCATCAAGATGGCATGCTCCTCTATTTTGACAGAAATTCACACAAGCATGATTGCTTCCTTGATATGTCTCACATTCAGGTCCATTATAATCAGGAATGCATCTACATTAAGATCAAGAAACATTATAGATTAACAGAACAAAACAAAAAAAACAAACTATGGAATGTAATGGAGATTTAAAGAAAAACTTCTATAAGATAGCTTTGAATTCGTAAAAAGAAATGGGAGGATGGTGTGCATACCTGCATACTGGACTGCCCCTACTCTCAATACAGTCACCTCCGTTTTTACACATTCCAGGACGACACTTCTGTACAACATTTGAATGACAAATTTCTGGTGGAGGGAAAACACAAGGACAATGTTGTCCTCTGTTTTCACAAGAACAGTTGCACAAATCAACTTCACATAATGGACCAGCATATCGAGAAGGACATTGACAATATTGCTTCTTAGTTCCGGCGATACATTTACCTAAGGATACACATCAACATTAGAAAAACTTCAAGGGGAGAATACATTCAATTATTTTTCCCATAAAGAATATAAGATTTGCTATGTTTCCTACCTCCATTTTTACAAAAATCTTTACATTTGTCCTTCTCACACCTCTCTCCAGCAAAACCAGGGGCACACATACATTTTGGCCCACCAGCTGTCATGCGACACGTATTCTGAAACATGGTTAGATTAGATTGCTTGAAGAAATCTCACATGATATTTGAACAAGACGAAAAATTGAAGGGTGCCTTCAATGCTAAAGCTAGAGAATCATACTTACATTTCCCTTACAGTATCCAACACACTTTGAAATTTCACAGTTTTTCCCAGTATATCCATTTGAGCATTGACACTTCGGCTCGGAACCCTGCAGGGCACAGATTCCATTTGGACCACACTTCAAAGAAGTGCAATCTTGACAACGAGACCCTGTGAATTGGGGCTGACAAACACAGTAGACGACTCCATGTGCTGGAGAGAAACATGTACCACCATTCTCACACCCACAGTTAGCAAGTGGTGTTTCACACCTCTCCCCTGTCCATTCAGGAGGACAAGTACACTGATAAAAGAAATTCAAAAAATTAGTAAGCAATGAGAAATCTAAGAATGCAATCAGACATACAAGTACCTATAAATAACTTACTTTGGGAACTGGTTTTCCAGACAATGAATCCACTACTGCATCACATCTGCCCTGGTTACGACAATACTCAGAGCAAAGATATTTACTACAATATTCTCCTCCGTACATAGGTTCACAAATGCAGCGTGGACCATCAGGAGTAATTTGACATTTCCCCATAATACAATTCAAATCACATCGTTCTGCTGGTCTTGGTTTAGGATTGCATATCACCTACAAAACAAGTTTATTAAATAAATAAGTTTTTAGAAAATTTTTGAATTTTAAATACCGTGATGATTTATATTTCTAAAATAATTTTCCATAGCAACATTACCATCATAGTACTTGATACAGTAGAGATGGTGCCATCAGGACATAAACAGGTTTTATTAGAAGACCCAGGATGGTTGCCCTGAGGAACACAGAGTGCACTTGGATGACATGGAGTCTTCTGGCAGTAATTCACTACTGAAAATAAAACAAATGAATAAATTATAGACACTAGAAACTTCCTTAAACTTGATGATAGGAGATATGTTTCACAAGCCTTACATGGTCGGGGATGTTTATTTTCCTGCAACACCACTAAATCAGGGGCCCTTTGCTGTTCACCTTGGTACAAAATTGTTCCATTCAAGTCAAATCTTCCAAACTTGTCATACCGTTTGACCATAACTGCCGTTGGAGTGCTCATACTAATAAATATTTTGTCTTCAAACAAATCCATTTTGTAAGGTCTTACACCTAAAAGAAATTGTTTAGAAAAAATTAGGTAAAATTACTTACATAATCTTTCCTATTATTAACACTTATCTGAAATCGACAACAAATACATACCTTGAGAAAACTTTATTATAGTCTTTCTATGTCTACCATCAAGATCCACAACTTCAACAGTTAGCTTTTTGGCGTCAACCCAATACAAGCGACGGGCTTGGTAGTCTAATGCAAGGCCAGTAGGCCACAGCATATGGTCAGATACTAAAGTGTGTCGAGAATTACCATCCATCTGGGCACCTTCAATACGAGCTTTCTTACCCCAATCTGTCCAGTACATTTTGCTGAAAATGTGAGAGGAAAGGTTGTTGATTAACACAGTCAAATTTATTGCCCTAGTACCGAAAGATAATTATATACTTACCCTTCTTGTGGGTCAACAACTATATCATGAGGCTCATACAGATTGGTTTCAACGAGTGTTACACGGCGAGTTCCATCCAAATTCGCAACCATAACTGCAGGAGTGGCAGAGTCAACCCAATACAGCAGTTTATGTACCCAATCAAGAGCAACACCTCTCGGATTATCTAATTTTGAAACCTGACGAAATGTGATTGATAAAGTTAGTATTTCCCATTTTGCTCATATTTAAGAATATAGAAGAAACAAAATGCCTTACCAAGGTGCGATTATCTTGTTTTATGCTGTGATAGTGATGATCAGAAAATACTATTACATGTTTAGGAGGATTCCAGAATGCATCAATAGATTCAATCTTGTTTGCTGAAACAGATTTGCTAGCAGCTTGAGAATGATCAGGAGCGCTGTGTGGTTTCTCTATGAACTTTAATCCTGTATCAGTTGCGACAATAATCTGGGCAGGACCACCTACAATCCATGGAGAATAGAAAACAGATAGTTGATATCAATTTGAAATTGAAATCTATTGAACAAAATAAAAATAGACAATACTTTTACCTTTTGCTACACACGTTTTGTTACTATTGTCACACACTTTGCTACCATCAGTACAAGAAAGTGTGTATCCAGATTGGCAGTTACAAGCATAGCTACCACGTTTCTTGGCAACACAAAGTTGAGAGCATGCTCCGAACTTACAAGGCGATGGAGAGCAATCTGATTCATCAGAATTGTCCCCACAATCATTTATTTCGTTACATACTGCACTTTTTGGTACACAATTTTTGTTAATGCATAAGAAATAGTCTGAGCGGCATTCGTAGTCTCTTGGATAACTGTGGGGGCCTGAATGAAAAAAAATATATCAGAATGAAGTACACTTAATCTTGCATTTACTAGATGCAAAAGGCAGATTCACTTACAAAATCTTTCATCTGAATGATCTTCACAGTCGACAATGCCATTACAAACACTGAATCCAGGAAGGCAGACAACAGATCCGTTTCTTAAACACCTTAAAAGCATCACAAAAATGACAGAAATTGTTAGTACAACATAAATTACCATAAAAAATCACAAAACTAGGTGGATTTTACCGATGACGTCCTGGTTCACAGGCAAAGTTAGTGCAATTCGCTTCATCAGTGCCATCACCGCAGTCATCATCACCATCACAAACCCATGAAGCAATGACACATTGTTTGTTGTTGCAGTGTAATTTATTCATTGAACATTGACTGGTGCAGTCAGCTTCATCAGATCCATCACTGCAGTCTACATCTCCATCACATTTCCAATCACTTGAGAACAAAACAAACAAAAACTCAAGACGGATTCAAAAGCTAAAAGAAAAACCATAACAAGATAACTTTTCACTACCTTGATATGCAGTATTGAGGAGCCTTGCATTGAAACTCATTACTATTACATGTGCGATTACACATATGTTCATCACTGTGATCATCACAACTGTATTCTCCATCACATCTCTGATAACCTGGTATACAACGGCCATCAGCGCACCTTCAAATGGAAAAAGAAAATTTACTGGAAGAGCTCACTTTTAATTAATCATTTTATGAAGGATAAAAATACAAAATTAGGTCATTCTTACCGGAATTCGGATTCACTGCAATCGCGAGGCTTGCATCCTACCTCATCAGAATTGTCGCCACAGTCATTGTCATAATCACATTTCCAGCGCCCTGGTATGCACCTGTAGTAAGATTAGGTAATTAAAATTTGTCCTCAGACTAGACAAAATATTACAACCACAAATTACTCTACTTACTTATTATTTTTGCATTTGAAATAAGTGGGGTCGCAGACATGGTAGTCAGGATTAGAGCAATTAGCTGGTTCATCTTCTCCATCACGACAATCTTTATCTCCATCACACTGCCATGACTTGGGAATGCATCTTCCAGTGCTACATCTAAGTTGATCTGCTGCACATGTTCGAGATTCACACCCCTTTTCATCTGAGCCATCAGGGCACTCTTTTTCACCATCACACACCCAGACATTAGGAATACACTTGCCATCAGACCGACAAGAAAACTGAAGAAAATGAAAAATAATCAGGAACAGATAGGATTATATAATGCTGGTCATGGAATTTGACTTAAATAAAGAATATGTAAACGAACACAGTGCAATGCGTAAGAAACATACCTGATCTGGTGGACATGTCTTTGGGGGACAGTCTTTTTCATCTTCTCCATGCGGACAATCCAGCTTTCCATTACAACGAAACGAACCCGCAATACAATGGTCAGATACAGTGCCATTGCCAAGGCATTTAAATTGGGTGCTCAGACATGTATACTGCCAAAACCAATCAAAGAGGAGAAAAATTAATGAAAATAAATCAGATAGACTCTATAAGGATTAAATGTGAAAAACATACCTTATCACAGCCTTCCTCATCAGAATGATCACCACAATCATCTGATCTGTCGCACAAATAAGAAGGGTGAATGCACTTCCTATTATCACATTGGAATTGACCAGGTGTGCATTCAAATTTACGACAATTTGGTGGTTCATCAGAACCATCCCCACAATCATCTTGGCCATCACACTTCCACCAAAATGGAATGCATTTGTAAGTGTTCTTACAAACAATGTTAGCTGATGTGCAATTAGCAATGCAGCTTTTACTATCTGGGCCAAGAACAAAATTCCCAGGACAAGCACAACGGTGTTCCCCATGTGGACGTAGAAGACAAAGAGTTGCACATCCCCCATTATCAGCACACGGATTTTTAACAACTGGTAACTGGCGGTAAGGGTGATAGACATGAATGTCCATAGGACGGTGTACCATTGTTGTAAGGTGCTTACAATCCTGACCACTGTACTTATTGCATCTTTCAACAGCCTTGGTTTCCCAATCTGTCCAATACAAGTAATCTTCAAATACAGCGAGAGCGAATATGTGATGCAACATCAACTTTGGATTCTTTGCCCGACTCATTACAACTCTTCTGTTTTTGCCCTCAAGGTCTGAGACAGCAATGTAATCTTCACGAGCATCTCCCCAAAATAATTCATTTGTTTCATAGGAAAGGGTCAAAGCATTAGGCCACCCAAGAGAATCATTCACAAGTATGGTCTGACTGGATCCATCCATTCCAGCTTTTCCAATGTATGGTCGATCACCCCAGTCTGTCCAGTACATGTAACCTTGATGAGGATCTAATGTAATGGCTCGTGGTTCTTGTAACCCAGAGTTTATCAAAACATGGCGATAACGTCCATCCAGCTTGGATACTTCAATGGTGTCTAAGCCTTTATCACACCAATACAGGTTCCCACCAACCCAGTCAACTGCTAAGCCATCTGGGTTTTGTAGAGTAACTGAGTGGAGAACCTGTGTGAATTGATAAAAGAACATCTCCATTTATATCTTCAGGGACAAAGGTATACTGAAGTAGTTTGACAAAGACAAAATATTACTTACCTGGAATGTTGTGTTCCCTCCACATTGTCTTTTGATACTACTTCCACTTGCAGTCACATCAGACCAATACAAACAATTTTCTGACCAATCAAAATCCAAAGCGACAGCATTTGTAAGATTGTGAACTCTCAGACTTGTTTTTCCCATTAAATCCATTTCTCGAATGTAGTACCGATTGGAAAAGAGCAGCTTTGCCTCATAACCTTAAGCAAAATAAGATAAGATATAAAGTTTCTTGTAAAAACTGCTTGGAACTACCTAACAAGAAGTAATTTTACACTTACTGGAATTAGCTTTGCAAGAGTGTTTATCAGGTCGCAAGATGTACCCATTATTACAGGAGCACACATATGATCCCATTGTATTGCGACATATATGACTGCATGGAGACTCTGTACACTCGTCAATATCAAGACACAATCTATGGTCTTTTGGGCTTACTTTATAACCTGCATGGCACTGGCATTCATAGCCAATCTTTTTATCCACACAAATATGAACACAAGTGTTAGCACGCTCACATTCATTAATATCTGGAGGGATAGAAAGAACATGACAATAAATCTACCTTCAAACTAAAAATAACATTGGGGTTTAGACTTCAGTAAATAACAACTAGCAACTTACTGCAAAGATGCTCATCACTGAAATCTCCACAATCATCTTGTCCATTACAAAGGAGAGTTTCATTGACGCATAACCCATTTGCACAATGGAACACTTGTGGACCTTCACACAATCTACTTGTTCCATTATGACACGATGTTTCTTCTTCATCGGAATTATCTCCACAATCATCAACACCATTACATGTCAATGCAGCTAACACACATTTCATTCCATTGCGACAAGCAAATTCATTATCTCTGCAGCCTTGTAAGCCACACAACTTGGGCTCATCACTTAAATCACCACAATCATCTTGCCCATCACAATAGTATTCCTAAATAAAATGATTGCTTTAGATTACATTTAGGCAGATAGAAATTATGACTGTGTGTGTAGCCTATAGATACTATATTACGTAAATTGGAAGACTTGGAAATAGGAAAAAAATACTCACTTGAGGAATACACTTGTTGTTGGCGCACTGAAAGTGAGTATCTGCACATGTTTGTGCACTGCTTAGACAATGTTCACTTAATCTTTCATCTGATGAATCCCCACAATCATCCTCTCCATCACAAACCCAAGTTAAAGGGATACATTTGACAGTGCTGTTACATTTAAATGATGATATGGAACAGGGCTTGGTACTGCACTTTGCATCTTCATCAGATCCATCTGGGCAGTCTGGAGTCCCATCACATTGCCACGAATGAGGTATGCACTCCTTATTGTCACACTCGTACTGATCATTACGACATTGACTTTTGCAGTCAGCCTCATCTGAACTTGCTTCACTTGAGCTACCATCACCACAATCATCATCACCATCACAACGCCAAGAGCTCTGAATACATCGCCCACTTTTACAAAGAAATTGAGGGCTTGGACATGGATCAGGTGTAGAAGGACCATGTGTTGGGCAATCTTTCTCATCAGAATTATCCCAACAATCATTTTCTGAGTCACATATCCATGACGGATTAATACAAGCTGTTGTAGTGTTGCAATTTATCAGACCAGGGAGCTCAGTGCAATTTGGTTTGGGACAATTCATTTCATCGCTTGCGTCAGGACAGTCTGCACTTCTATCACATACATATGAGGCATTGATACAGACGCCACCATGAGTACATCTAAAATGAGTCTTATCTGAGCAGGCACAGTTTACTTCATCACTTCCATCACCACAGTCATTATTGTTGTTACAATTTTGATTCATAGGGATACATCGCTTATTTGTGCAAGTAAAATAACCGACTCTGCATTTTCTGTGACTACAATATGGTGGTGCTTCATCTGAGTTGTCTCCACACTGGTCAATACCATCACACGTCAAATGATATGGAATGCACCTTCCATTGGAGCAAGTGAATGAAGAGGATGTACAATTCCAATTAATTTTAGAGCATTGTTTCCCATCAGGCAAGAGGGCAGAACCAGGAAAACAACTGCAAACAACCCCTCCATTGACGTTCAATCTACACTTGTGAGCACAGCCACCATTTACGATATTGCACGGATTTGCAGCACCTAGGCAACAATAGAAACACAAGTTGTAGAAGAAATACAACTAAAATTCATTTGGCAAATTACGGCGGTTGCGAGACTCAAGGTAGGCCACCTCGCAGTGCGCGCATGCACTGCAGGCAAGAGGAGGCGCTTTGAGAGCTTGCATAGGCTGAACGAGTACGTAACAACGGACGTACTTTCTGGGTGATATCTTACTTGAAAACAAAATTAACACAACTTCAAAAGATACATCCAATGTTAAACGGCAACTTACATTCGTTGGTATCATTTGCAATAGCAATAATTGCCATAGGTCGTTGAACGTCTTTACGAAGAACAACAACATCTTCACCAGTAAATTTATTGACACGAAGAACAGCATGGAGAACCCAATCGGTCCAGAAAAGGAAATTGCCATACACAGCAATATCAAACGGATGATGGGTAATAACAGCAACCAAAACCTTAAGAATGTGAGATTAGGAATGTGTACTCAATCCAATAAATCAACCCCAAATTAACTATGTACTTACAACTCGGTTGCTGCCATCATACTCGGTGCGTTCAATTTTGTCCAGACGAGCATCACACCAGTACAATTTTTGAGTACTATGTTCTAAAACTAAACCATTTGGCATCCTAATGTCAGCTGAAATTATAGTCTCAACATCAAAACCATTTGTGTAAGCTCGCTGAATTGAAGGACTGTTAGAGTTCCAGTTTGTCCAGTAAACTCGGCTAAACAAGTGAAGATTATATATTTTTTTAAAGGATTTAGAAACATTTACTAAACTTAATTAAATAAAAACTTACGCTGCACAAGGGTCCACAGCTATACCACGAGGTTTGTCATTTTCCTTAAGTTTAACTATAGGTTCAGAGGTGTTAGAAGTCAGATTAATCTTGTTTATAGTCAAATCATTGTTACAAGTCCAGTACAGTGTGTTTGTAGATGCATCAAAGTCAAGACCCTCTGCTGCTCCATGTCCTGTTTAAAAAATTGACACAAATACATCAATTAAATAATAGAATAATAGAGATCAAAAAGGTAATGAAACATAAAAACACATTTAAACTTGCTTTCAATGATGATGGTGTGGTTAGTCCCATTAAAGTGAACACTATTGATACTGCCTCTTTGAATATCTGAATAGAAGATAAGTTTCCGTTTGTAATCATATGCAAGAGCAATGCTGTTCCGCATGTGTTCCTTGGACTGAATGCTTGGAAAAGGAGGATTCAAGTCATTTTCATTTGTCATGTGAATACTATCCAAGCGGAGAACGCGAGAGAAGAGAAGGAAGCTGTCATAATCTGTATGAAATCATCGACACATTTATTGGTTATAGGCACACAGAGTTCAAAATAGCATTGAAAAGCTCTCCTTTCATGTCATTCCTTCCTACCTTCACAAGAATGGCCATCAATTGAAACTTTGCCATGAGCACAAGCACAAACCGGATGTGTTCCATTAAACAAACAAAGTTCAGCACACCCTCCATTGTTGTTTGCACAAGGGTTTGTGCCCTTTTGCTTTAACTTTGTGAAGACCTGCATGATATTTAAGAAACAAATAATTCAAAACACAAAATAAGTTTTTACATAAACACAACAAGCACAATTCAGAGGGCCGTTGTATTATTTGTTTTGAAAGGTTTATCCCTGGATAAAACGGTAAATTATTAAGAACTACCTGAATATCCTTGAGAGAGTCTCCAATGTCCTTCAACATGATTGAAAAATTTGAAACGTTTGATAGTGGGGCTGAAAGTATACTCCCTCTTTCATGAGTTCTGAAAAAAAAGAAAGTGCCTATAAGCCCTGCAAATTCTAACAATCCAAACTTCTTAATGTAACATTAAGAACATACACAAAATACTACAAAGTACATAGTGACAGAACTCACGTATCAATCCAGAACAAGGTATTATTGAAGACTGTCAGGCCCATAGGGGTGTCAACTGAACGTTCCAAAAGGACCTCACGGTGACTACCATCATAATTAACCCTTTCAATTTTGTGCGTGCTTGAGTCACACCAATACAACTTGTGATGCTGTAAAGTACCATGATGAATATGAATAGACGCAAATGTAAATTCAGACTGTTTGATAGAGCATGTATGCTAACCTGGAAATCCAAGGTAATGTCATTGATGGCAGTTACACCAGAATTCACAAGTACTTTTCTGTTTGAACCATCGAGCCCAGCCCGTTCTATGCGCGGCTGTTTACCGGCGTCGCTCCAAAACAAAAGTCCCTGGACTGGATCCACAACAACTGAGGTTGGTTTATCCAAGCCTCCAGTCACAACGACATAACGGAATGATCCATCGAGGCGAGACATTTCAATGACATGCACCTTTGGATCAGTCCAATACAAGTTGCCTGGTGAAAAAAGCAGTAAGTAAGTATGTTTGTTAGTTTCTCTCACTAGTCAGGTGTGTGTGTGTGTGTGTGCACTTTTCGTGGTAGTACCGTGCCGCATAAGAGCGTAGGGGCGGTCTTATTTATCACTTTTTAAAACCCTGTCCTGTAGTCAGGACTACGAAACAGCAGTGTTGAGGATTTGATTTACAGAGGAGCTGTGGCGCCTTAAGGATGGAGCGAGTAGGCAGACCCCCACACTGCTGTGTCATAGCCCAGACACAAGGCACGAGAGCGGGATCCACTGTTTATCCAGATACAGTACGGTATAACAACTAGTGCAAGGCATGTAAGTTATGTTGAAGCCATAACCACAAAAACTTCAAATGTGCACCATGAAGTGTCAAAGACTCACCTGCTATCCAATCTACAGCCAAACCTAATAATTGGGAAATTAAAAATTAGAAGAGATAAGAAAAGTCAGTACAAAATTTGTTAGGAAACATTAGTAACAGATATTTTCAATTGATGAAAACTTGTAGTCTTACCAGTTAACCAGTCAACAGGTATAAGTTCCATGGATTCAAAATGTTCTATTACTACTTTACGTCCAGTTCCATCACGGCGTATACGTGTTACTGACCCATGATCACTGTCAGCCCAGTATATATACTCAGAATCTAAAATTTAGAGAGGGGAAAACACATGTAACTACATGATGTTTACAGGAAAACTTCTTTATGATATCAATGACTTTAATCTTACCTGCATGGAAATCTACACTGGCAGCCATCGATACCCGAGAAATAGGACCAAGAACTTGAGTTGAATTGTCACCCAATGTGAGAGGAATGCCTTTGATCTCCCAGTTTATGGAATAAAGTAGGAATGCTTCAATTCCTGAAGGGTCATAAGATAGATTAATTAGATACGAAAAACACAATTGAGTCATAATTTTATTTTCTTTAAAGAGAGATTGATTATGGTAATAACTAGATTTGATTTGACTATAATGGTCTTACCTATACATTTTGTAGAGTCACTTGGATCAACATGGTAACCACTCCCACAACGACAAACCCTTTCAGTCATTGAGATTGGTAAGCAAAGGTGGGAGCAATTACCCTTGTTAAATTTACAGGCATTAGTGCCTATCTGAATTTCAGGATCGTAGATACGGAGGGACATGACTTGAACTGAAATGAAATGAAGAAACAAAGACTAGATTAGATTCCAGAAATAAAATACAAATTAGTAGAAAGTTAGATATTTTTTGAATTTCTTACTTGTGTTAGCACGAAGAATGGTATCATTCAAACCAGTGGTCTTATTAGCCATGTGAATGGCCATATCATGCAGATCAGCATAATACAAATTACCCTGATATACAACGGCGGCTGTAGGATGAGCATCTTGCCTCAGAGAAACATCATAAGTTTGCTTTGAGTGGAAATCATAATACTGAATATTTTTGCTCCACCCATTCACCCAATATAGGCGCCAATCATCCAAATCCATTGTCAAACCTTCAAAATTCAAAATTTAAATTAATAATAGCAAGAAAAAACTTGCTCACAGAAATAATATTAGAAAGCACTTAAAAAGGATAGAGATAGGTACATGAAAAAAAAAAAATGCTGAAAGAGGCATAGGAAAGTGTGCAACCTAATCACAGGCATGACAAATGGCGCTCACAATTTTGTAGTTGGAATGAGTAGCTTTACTAGTGTTAACTTAGAGCACACATTCTTGTGCCCCCTCCAGTAACACACAGGTTGAATAAGCTCCAAAATGCTTATTGATAAAGCATAATACATAAGATGAATATTGAAAAAGCCTTTCATAACTGGCACAGCACAATATCGGGCCACTTCATACATCAAGCTCATAGCTCATCCTACACAGCCCAAAATGAAAAAAAAACGTGCCAACCATGCATATATACTAGTCTGCTTACAAATCCAACTGTTCAATTGTTCCATCACGCTTTCTTGGCTCATTATCAGCGGCACATTCCTTCCTCTCACCTTTTTCCCTAAAGCAAGTACATATTCACAAGGTTTTTCTAAGATAGATAGATGTTCACCACTTAAAGTGTTAAACATGGCTTGTCAATGCACAATAGGATTAAATTTTGAGATGTTACTTAATGTTTTTTTCTTTTTCTTATTTTTTAACATATTTAAAAAGACCTTATTTTATAGCTCTGTTAATAGAAATAATGAGAATAAGATTGTAGTATACTCACTTCTTGGTGCAACACTTGCAATATCTTCTACTTTGGAAACTAAAACATGCTGCTCACTGCCATCCATGTTAGCTTCTTCAATGATGTAGCTTGTGCCCCGGACGTGACTGAAGTACAATTTACCCCTAGTTGGGTCCAGAGCTAGAGACTTGATTTGAGAGGGCTCAGATTTCCCAACACTTCCATCTGAATCTCCACTGTCATGATGCTCCGAAAACTCAGCATGAGATAAAGAACTCATTGTTGGGGAGGGCTGAGTAGTTGAATTTTGAGATAGTGGAACTGTTTCGTTGTCAAATATTTTGTTGGGAATTTTTATGATGCCAGTAATTATGTATTCACCCTCCAAATTACAAACTAATATTTGATTGTAAGAGGGTCCTGTGGATGTTACATACATATTTCTCGAAATCCAGTCAATAGCAAATCCAGTTGGAGAATCAATACCTGTAAAGCACCCATGTTAACTTCTACAATTCTGAGACTGGTGGACGGAATTAACCAATGCTCATCTAGAGTCAACAATATTCTTACCAGTGTCAATTATGCTTTCCGCACCACCACCAGTGAGTCCTGTTCGTTTAACTTCATTGACTTGCACATCTGTCCAGTAAATTTTTTTGTTGCTTGCCACAAAATCCAGTTGAGACGGTGACAGTACTTGAGGAAGACTTATGGTTGGAATTGTATGGAAATATGGCATTTTTAAATCCACACCACGAATTTCATTTGCCCGAGAGAATAAAAGAACCTGTTCATTCACTGCAACATTTGCAAAACAAACAAGGACAGACATCACAACTTTCAGGTAAATCATGCAATAGATAGTTTAAATTAAAATTTGAACTATAAGAATAAGCTACAAAATTTCTACAAAAGGAATCATATTAGCAGCTTACCAACACAAGTATGGTTGTCCTTATCCAACCTCATGACATGGGGGCAATCACACTTATAAGTGTTGTTAACACTTATCAAACAAAGGTGAGAACAATTGCCATTGTTAAGACCGCATGGATTCTGAAAGTCTCCTAAAATTAGGAAAATAACAAGAAAAAAAAGAGAGCTACAGATATGCACATAAAGTTGTGATTATCAAATAATGGCAGTCGTAAAGTTAAATTTTGAAACTTGAAAGTAACTTCTAAGATTATAGGTGTAGAGTTACCAAAGTAAAATAATAGATACCTTTTGGCTGTCTACTAGGATGCAGTATCTGGATGTCAAATGGTTGTGTGAGAGTTCTTTGAATCACTGTTAAATCCGTACCATTCCACTTATTTGCACGGTTAACAGAATTTGTTCTCCAATCTGTCCAGTAAACATAATTATCAAATAAAGCTATGGCAAAAGGGTGAGATAACGTTTCATGATTCCTTATGACTGTGCGGATATCATGGCCATCATAGGTTGCTGTATGTATTGAATCAGAGCGTGCATCAATCCAATAAATTCGCTGAAGTTGGTAGTCTAAAGTAAGACCGTTGGGCCAAGCTCCATCAGCAATTTGATCAACAGCAACAACTATTGTGCGAAAGTCCCCGCTCATGCTGCACCTCTCGATGCGAGGATTATTAGCATCCCAATCAGTCCAGAATAAGAGCCTGCAATAGTTTGTTTTATGTTTAAGAAACAATAGTGAACTCATTTTTTATTAAAAAAAGAAAAGTGAATTAAATATAGATAACTCACCCAAATCGAGGGTCCAAGGCAATTGCTCTTGGTGATTCCATTTCACCAGCAACAAGAGTGCGTCGAAAACTACCATTCAGTTTTGCAACTTCAATTTGGTCCAAATTACTTTCAACCCAATACAAGTTCTCACCAATCCAATCAACTGCTAAGCCTTCTGCGGTTGAAAGGCCAGTTTGAACTACAACTTCAATGTTAGTTAAAGAACCACCCACCAGTGTGCCACAATAAATTTTATCGTCAATGACATCAGTCCAGAAAATTTTGTCCTCTTTTTTGGCATGATAAAAGTCTAAAGCGATAGTGTTTTTGAGACTTGAAATGAGAGCTTTAGAGCTATGAGAATGTAAATCAACTCCTCGAAGCTCATGGCGATTGCTAAATATGACATAAGGGGTGGCTTTATCTACAAGCAGAAAATTTTAAAAAGTTAGTCAGTTAAAAGAAAATTTAAAATATTGATAAAGTTTTATCATTTATACATACCATTGCTTTTACAAGAATACAAATCAGATTGCAAAGTATATCCAGTGTTGCATTTGCATTTGTGTTTAGATTTTACAGCCTCACAAGTATGTGCACAGACACCCCAAGTTTCACATGGATGAGAGGCACTGCATGTAACTTGATCAGGCTGCAGGTGGAGTGTTGGAGGACAGTAGCACATTATACCCTTAGGAGTGTTTTGACAAAGGTGCGAACATTCTAAACTTGAGCCACATAAATTAAGATCTGAAAGTATTGTAAAGACCAGTTATAAATCATGTTTTAAACAAGCCAATGATGTAGATGGAACTTAACTTTACTCACCACAGTCACCACCTTCATCGGAGTGATCATCACAATTGACTTCTCCATCACAAAACTCACTGACTTGAATGCATTTAGTAAGATTGTCACAAAGCTTTGAGGGAAATTCACACTCAAGAGAGCCATTATGGGAATGATGTCTGTGTGATTTATTTGCTGCATTTATAAAATAAGATAATGAATCAGAAAAGGGAAATTTACAAGTGAGACAGCTGGGTATGTAGTGTAATCAGTTTCTTACCACAAGACCATTCATCAGATCCATCTAAGCAATCACTTTGCCCATCACACTCTAGCTTTTTAGGTATGCAAAAGCTATCATTACAAGCAAATTCATGGAGTTCACAGTGCGAAGTATGGCTTGGAGGATGCTGAGTAGGGCAATTGACTTCATCACTACCATCACTGCAATCATTAGTACCATCACATTTGAAACTCAAAGGGTAACACTCTTTGTTGACAGCACAGTACAACTGTAGGAAAAAAAAGAGGGAATTTTGCTTAGTTTCTGAACATTGACAAGATAGGAAAACAAGTTTTATGGAGGATCACATAAATTACCATAGTTGAATTATTGCATGATTGTGGGCAGTCAATTTCATCACTATTGTCCTGACAATCATCATCTCCATCACAATAATAATCAAAAGGAATGCACTTTTTGTTGGTACATGTGAATTGAGATGGATGACATTCTAATGAAACAAAAACAAATTACTTCAAATGCCTAGGAAGTATGTAAGCAAATTTTAAAATTATGAACCAAATTACTCACGGCACTCGCTATGTTCATCAGATGGGTCATTTTCTCCACAGTCAAACTCAGTGTCACAAGTCCATGTCATTGGTATGCAGCGTCCAGATATTTTGCAGGTAAATTGATTTGGCTGACAAGACTTCGGTCCACATTTGGTTACATCTTCATCAGTGCCGTCTTGACAATCTCTATCTCCATCACAAACCCAAGTCTTTCTGATGCAGGTATTACCATCACATTTAAAAAGATTCCCACAGTTGTGTTCATCTGCAGAATTGATAGCTTAAATTAGCACTAGTATTAGAGCTTTAAAAAGAGATTTAAGAGCTCTCAGCACAGGAAAACAGAAACAAACCCTTAGTAGGAGGAGAAACTGTTACTTCTCCACAAATTCCCCCAGGACTGGTATCTTCATCAGAACCATCCGGACAATCTTCACTTGAGTCACAAACCAAATGCCGATCAATGCAGGTACGGTTATTGGCACACATAAATTGACGAGACAAACAGTGAAAAGGAGCTGTGTAGTTCATATTCTGAACACATTTAGACCCTTTCAAATCAAAACCATCTCGACAAGCACAAGTCACTCCCTGAGGGGTAATGAGACAAAGGTGTTCGCAGCCGTTATTGTTAGCTGCACACTCATTAACACCTAATTAGAGAAATTTTAAATAAATGTTAGAAATACATTTTAACGTTAAAGATTAGAAACAATGATATGTGGCTTTCCATGACTCTTACCTTCTTGGGTGTTGTTGTCAAAAACACGCAATTCATAGAGTGGATCATTTTCCACACTTAATGTACTAACTTTTGGTTGATCAATATTAGAAATGTCTAAACGTTGAACTGTGCCATTTGAAAACTCAGTCCAATAAAGAAAATTGTCGCTGTGAGCTAGACCATAAGGATGTTCCATAGGAGCTTTATCAAATATGAGCTGTAACAAACAGTATTATTTAAGGGTCAACCTAACAACAAATATTTTAGTAGAAAGCTAGAAAAAAGAGTTGTATGGGTTAAATTCTACCTGTCGATCTTTTCCGTTGGTTCGAATGCGCTCAATTCTATCAATGTAAGCATCACACCAATACAGCCACTTCCCATGGTAGTCTATACTAAGTCCATTTGGCCAATGCACATTGTTAATAACAATAGGTTCTCGGTTTTTACCATCCATCCCCGCTCTCTCAATTTTCCCTTTCTGGGTTAGAACAGTAGCCCAGTCAGACCAATACATATACCTATAAACAGACAGATATTTTCAACTGAGAGCATTAAATTTGAAATAGATTAAACCAAGCTTTCTTTTGATTTACTTCCAACACTTACCCAGCTTTTGGATCTAAAACTATTGCACGAGGATGATGCATTTGACCATGAACTAGTATTTTTCTCTGAGATGGATCAGCAATTCTTGCTACACTGATTGACAGTCGACTTTCATCACTCCAGTAAATATTACCACTCAACCAATCTACTGCAAGACCTTCGCAGTTGTCAATTCCTTCGTCTATAAGCACTTCCTTCTTTCCACCAGATACTTTCCGTCGCATAATGGCATAGCTGTTATTGGGTCTGCGGGAAGATTCAAAAAGATTTAATTAATAAAATCCATAACTTGCCAAATTTAATTTACAAAGTTTGATTACTTACGTGGCATGTGTAAAATATATATATTGAGACTTCACATCATAGTCAAGAGCTTTGGATCTATTAACATCCAAAATAGGGTATGTAACTTCCACATTCTTAACGTTTGGCTTCAATTGTATTCCCTTTATCATGCCAGGACGGCCAGCTCCATAAATCAAAAACTTTGTCTGATTGGCAACTGAGCATGACTTTCCATCTGTTCCTAGCCTGAACCCAGGTTGACACAAACACTGAATCTGTCCAGTGCTTTTCTTCCAAGCAGATATACATATATGTTGACAACCTCCATTGTTATCCTTGCATGCATGAGGAACATCTGGCTGCCTTTGACGGTGATAAACATTAATGGAAAATGGACGACTAGTGTTGCTGATTATACTGTACTCTCCATTAAATTTGTTAAGTTTTATGACACTGTAACTTCGCCAGCTTGTCAAATACAAGAAATTTTCAAAAATTGCAATATCAAACAAATTTTGAACTGGTGGACCTCTTTTTAACATTTTCCTGTTATTTCCTTCATAATCAACACGCTCCACACAGTCTAAAAATGTATCCACCCAGTAGACATGCTGATTGGGGAAGTCAACACTCACACCATAGGGATAGACAATTCGCCTGTCAACCAATGTTATTCTTTCAGTTCCATCCATTTTGGCTCGTTCTAGACTTGGTTGGGCTGTGCCCCATTTGGTAAAGAACATATATCCCTTAGTCGGATCAAGAGCGATCCCTCTTGGTTTACCAATATTCACATCTACTATTATAGTACAAACTTGTAAGGTTCCGTTACATAAGAATATGACTTCATGAGTGTCATCCAAAAAGTACCAATTTCCAGAAACCCAGTCCAATGCTAACTGAGTAACTGTCTCATAGGAGTACATTGTAGGATTAGGCATATCCCATGGCTTGTCCAGATGATCAATATTTGCACATTGAAGGCGTTTATAATCTTTTATAAAACACATTGTTTGGTTACGATGATCGAAAGTAAGAGCTTGAGTTTGATGGTGTGTGATAAAATGACTGTTAGGCCAAACAGACCCATTGAGATGCAAGTGACGAATATCATCGGCAGAAGTGAGCAGAAGACTTGGTGGTTCAGATTCTGGTGCTGAAATGAGGAAAATAAAATGACAGAAATCATTAAAATGTAGAAAGTCACAAGCTATTAAATTTGTGACTCAGTTCCACTTACTATTTATAGCAAGGCAAGAGTTATTAACTTTTTTGTAACCAGGAACACAGCTGCATTCAAAAGAGCCAACTTTATTTTTACAAAGTTGGTCACAGGCCCCATCTTGTTCACATTCATCAAAATCTGAAGAAAAGAAGAGATGAAAAAAAAGGAGGCAATTGATTTATTTTGAGTACAGGATAAGTATAATGGTAAAACAAAAATGCGCAGGCAAAGTGAAACTTTGTGACCAAATATAACAGTGAGGATCACTCACCCACACAGGTGATGCCAGCAGCCTGTTTCCCATCACCACAGTAACACAATGGGCCATGAGGACTTGGTTTGCACTTATGCTCACATTGAATATTGGAGCACATTGTTGTGTTTTCTGGAAGAGGAAAAAGTATTACAAACACTATAATCAGAAGAGAAAATAAAGACAGAGAAATATATCTAAGTACTGACTGCAAAATTCTCCTTCGTCTTCGCCATTTGGACAATCAGAAATATCATTACACATATATTTCACCTCCTTGCAAATGTCTGTTGATCCACACCTAAAAAAGTTGGCAGGACAGTTATTTTCTGGTAGGCCTGAAAATGAACATATGGGGAGATTTAGTAAGAATTTTAATTGATTGAAGGATGATAAGACAGAAAACTAAAATAGCTGTTAGTAATATATTACAGGTATTTAAAGGATCTTCATCTGAGATGTCACTTCCATCGCAATCCGGCTCTCCATCACATGTCCATCCTTGTGGGATGCATTTTTTAGTTCCAGTGCACATGAACTGAAGGGGGCGGCATTTAACAGGAGCTGCAAAGAAAAAAAATTACTTTAATATTGAGAGATCAAATTATATTCAGAACAATGCATTGAAAGAGCAGTGTTTAGATTGACAGAGTAAACCATAGACACTATAATAATTTAAAAAAAAAATACATAAGAGAGAAAGAGTGAGTGAGAAAGAGCAAAAACTGTTTTCTTTTCTTGGCTTTTCTTTTTTTTTTGCAAAAGTCAGCCAGGCAGTGAATGTTTTCTTTAGTTGGGAATATCAAAACCAAACAAGACCACACACAAAAAAACTTACGGCAGTCATTAGGCTCATCAGAACCATCAAAACAGTCAGGTTTTCCGTTGCATTTTAACCTGAGTGGGATACATCTTCCATCTCCGCACTGAAACTGCTCCTGAGTGCAGTTTCCTTGTAAAGCGGCTGTAAATAAAAGCATCATTAACAATTTAATTTAATATAACAACTTGATGGTGTGCATGAGTTACAACATTAGCATTAGATCCAACACATCTCAATTGGAAAAGTCCAGAGGAAGGTTAAAACTTTGAACTGAAAATGGCATTTTCTCCAATCTTATCAGTCATTATTAGTACAAGAAATAATGCAGGCATACACACAGGGAAAGGTACTTGCAAGAGATGAATGAAAATTACATCTCACAAGCAAACAAAACTGATACTATGATAAAATATTTATAACAAATTTAATAATAACGAGAAGATACTTCTATTAACAACGAAAAGTGACGCTTTTGGAGGTAAACATGTTTATTGTTGTGCTAATATAACCTAATGTTGAACATACCGAGTTGGATGAATATTGCGTCCTACGTACAGGAAAATAAATTTGATAATCGATACAAAATACGAAATATAGAGAGAATGCTGGCATGCAATGTTGTTATTAGGTATAGAAGTTACGCAAATAAAGTAAATCTTCTTACCCTTTGTCGGCCCATCTTGTGTCTCTTGAGAACATATTTGTTCTATGAATGCAAATAAACAACTGACCCAAAGAAGTCTCAGTATCATTTTACCAGTCAGCTATCCCACCCAAAAAGGTGTTCATAAAACAATGTTGTTGGTCGTCATTCTTCAATTAATTGAATTAATGCTGGTGAAAGAGGCATAAGCCTAAACAAATCAACAAATCGCAGCAAACAGCCCGCTAGTGGCGCTTCTAGCGCTCGCTTAGCGAAAGGAAGTAGAGCCAACATTACTAAAAAAAAAAGATTCGAATCGGCTGAATCATCAGCCATCAGAGCTAATTAACGAAAGCAAAAAGAGTTGCAGCACAAATTATTATCAAAGGACGTAGAGAGAACAACAACAAGCAACAAGAAAGAAATCAGAAAATGTTTGTAAATTATTATTTTTTTGTTTCGTTAATGAGGGAATGAGGGTGTAGTTATTACAATTACTGGTTTAAATCGTATTGGCTGCTTGCGGTCTTCTTTCTCATGAAAGCACTTTCCAAGATCTTACTTGCAACGAAAACACACATTATTTAAGTATCATGTTCATCTTCCCATTCAAATTTTCGCGCTGCGTCATTCATGCTATTTAATCGAAAGTTAATTCGAGATAAAATGTTGTCTTGTGAGTTGGCCAACTTTTCGGGGGTGGGGGGAGTCTTGCTTGCAGACGGCTGACGGCTGCAGGTCCGGTGTTTTGTGGCACAATTTCTTCCGTGGACAGAAATGGTTGTTGAGGAAATTGTGGAGGAAATTGCGGATAAACCACAGGATGTTGCTGTGGTCGAAGATGCACCTAAAATTCTCACCCTTGAAAGTATCCTTGTGGTTGGCCGTGGACTTTAATGTGGACACTTACACATATGGTCAATTGTTGTGGGGTTATTGTGCTCAACCTTATGCTACAATTTTGACAGATTTTAATTAAGTAATAATTAACAAAGCATATTTTTGCTGTTTAATTGCCAATGTATTAGTTGATCGTTCATCTATATCTTTGTTCATTCTTTTTGTTCATCCCTTCTCTGAACTCGTGTAAAGAATCATGTATAATGAAATTTAATTCTAAAATTAAAATTTTTCGAGTGTTTGAATAGAAATGTACAATTTGTTTTATAAAATTTCCTTAACAGCTGTTCAGTCTTGAAGATAATTAAAGATGCACAGCAACAACATGGATTACGTCACGGTGACTTTCAACGCTACAGGTAATTTGTTACTTCTTTATTTCAAGGCAGATACAAAATATTTTAAAAAGTGTCTAAGTGTGCCAAAAATTTCTATAATTATTTTCCTCTTAACCTTTGTTTCAGGGGTTATTGCTCCCGCCGGATTCGCAGATTACGCAAGGTGTTACATGTTACCCAAGGAGACAAGAGACATTTTAAGAAGAAAGAAATTACAGAAATAATGGTGAAGGATGAAAAGTTTCTCTATGTTCCCCTTATGATGACTGAGCGGTGTTGGAGTCATGCCATGCAATTACGTCAAGAAGCAAATACAGAGCCCAGGAAAAAATTCCACCACATTAGTAGGCTTCGCAAAGCAACATCCTACTGCCTGCAGCTCCAAAAGCTCTGTGAGGTAAGAACCTACTATACATCTGCTTAAGATTTCAAAATTCTGTTAGCGCTGGCAGTAGAAATGACTAATTGTTATTTTAGCTACCAAACTGTGATGCACGCACAAAGCTTGAAGCTCAGGCTTATGTTGCATGGATTCACGGCTCTTTACATTTTGAGTTGCAAATGTGGATACCTGCAATGGAAAACTTAAAAAAAGCTCAAATGGTGTATGAAAAGCTAGCAGAAGCGTTGCCAGAAGAGGACAGTCATCTTTACACTCAACGAGTTGATGAACTTGCTCCAAGTTTGCGTTTCTGTGCTTACAATATTGGAGATGAATCTGCAATTGATGATTTACTCAAAATGCGGAGCCAGGGTCATGGAGATCTTATGGCCAATCTTGATGTAAGATCAGCTCAGTATTGTTGTAACATACCATTCATTTTCTTTCAAATTAAGTCTACCAACTGTACCTTTCCTTCCACTTTCCTATTATAAAAACCTTTAAATTTGCAGACTCTTATGGTTCAAACTCGTGAAAAACAGTCTGGTGAACTGAGTACAGTGGAATGGCGAGGAAGAAGTGTGACAGTTCGCCCTGAGAGAGCTCGAATCTTTTTACTGTCTGTAAGAGATAATGATCAGGCTCTGAAGAATGCTGCTGATATACCAGCACGTATTGAGGTGTTGGAGACTCTGCTGATGGATTGCAAAGATGCCATTGCAGCTGTAAAGGATGAAATGAAACAAGACCCTGTAAGAAATCAATTATTTTCAACCCCTTTGTCCAACTTTAAACTCAATTAAGTTGAGCTGATGTTTTTCCATGTTAACACTGCTGTAATTATAAAATCAATTGATTTTTTAACTAAATTTCAGGCTACTAAGAATCGCGTGGGACCCACAGAAACACTGCATCCTCTCCAGTACTTGCTGACCTACCTACTGCACATTCGCCTAACACAAACTGTACAGAGGAATCTCTTGCTTGTTGAACAGGCGAACAGTGAGGTAAATATTTGTTTCATGATCTGCAATCTTCTCTAACACTTTAATGAATACCTTTTTGATATTTCTAGAATGGGGCTGAAGCACGATCTAAAAACCATCTTCAGGACCTTACTCGCTTGTATGAAATCATTCTTCAAAACTTGCAAGAAATGCAAACACTTCCTGGACTTGAAGAGGATGCAGTGTATCAAAAGGAGGTTGAAGCTAAAATTACAGCTTTTAAAGCCTTTAGGTCAGTAACTAAAATTTCTTTGTTGATCAGCAGACTTGTTTGGTGTCTGTACAAACTATTTTTTCTAAATTTGCAGATGCTTCTACATTGCCCAGATACTTGTTGGACTTCGAAGATGGAGGGAGGGTATGGCTCTTTACCAACGTTCAGAGCAGTATGTGCGAGAAGCGCTTAAGACACCTGTGGACTTTAAACCTCAGCTTGAGAAACTGAAGAAAGATATTGAAGGCTGCAAGTTCTCTGCTCATGCTTACAGTGTTTTGGAAGGAGAGGAGACACAGGGAGAGTCTCCTCAAAAGGGTCCTCGGTCTCGTAAGGTATTTATCGCCGATTGTGTCAGGCTATTTTTCTAAATATTGTGCTTCCATGTTGTTTGAATTGCTCGAAATGATTAAGTCTGAAAGAATTTGTCGCAGCCTCTTGCAGAACGTCTGGGAGAATATCGTGAGGACCCTAGCCTCACTAACAAGACTCCAAATGTTTATCGTTTACCCCCGGACATGAAACCTATACCCTGCAAACCTCTCTTCTTTGACCTGGCTCTAAACTGGGCTGAATTCCCATCCTTAGATGACAAGATTGAAGGAGCCTCCAAGAAAGGACAAACTAATGCAGGTCTCACTGGTTTTGTTAAAGGCTTCCTGGGATGGGGTGGTTCAAAAAGTTGAATTTTTACCACCTCTCTTCATCGGGCAAGGAGTAAGTGGGTGATGTTCATCCGATAATGTAAAAGGGCACTGGGTGAAGGTTTCAGAGAAACTGCATTAATATGATAAGAAATTATGACCTTTAATATCAGATGGAGATTGTTTAACAGAACCAATTGTTTTACTCATAAATATATTATCATTTCTTGACTAAATTTTAATTTGATTCCCAAGTTTTTCTCTAAGGTGTAGGGCCAGCACACAACGCAACTAGAAGGGAGCAATCACTCATTACATTAACAATATTCTCAATTTATTATATACACATTGTTAACCCAAGTACACTTCTAAAAATTAATCTAGTACACTACATTTGGTTATGAAATGCTATGAAACAGGGCAACATGTATAAGATGAAAACTTACAAATATTATAAAAATGCATTTGAGTATTTACTAGTAAAAAAGACATTGTAAAATCACACAATGAGGCAAATGCATGAAAAATGTATCCAGTATATAGGACACATGTCCTCATAAGAATTTGCAAGGTACTACTTTACTCAGTAATAAGGATATATACAGTGATAAAGTCATGCTGAGGCAGTGTCCAATTTAAGTGTTATTAGGGAAGGATGTTATACATAGTGTTAGAATAGGTTAGAGGGTGTGCACAAATTAACAACTGAATCAATGTGATCATCGCAGAGAAGGATATAAAAGGCAACTCTCGCACACTTGCACAAATTCATGCATGGATAAAGAAAACAAAAACAACATAAACACATAAAAGCAACACTGTCAAGATTTCAAATAAAGGAAGAAAGCACTTGACTGCACACCCTTCAAAAATTACAAGGTGGTTATTAAAGAGTTCTGGTCACAGTAAGTGGGTTAATATCCACTGGACGTGAAGTATGCCACGAAGACACTTGACACACAGTCTCAGAATCTCAATTGAAGAATGCAGCATTTACATTCTGGAACCTTTCTGCTGCAATACCTTAAGATGGGAAAAAGACATCACTGACACAAGCAGCCACAAAATCGAATATGAAGTAGTAACTAATTATGCATTGTTCTTGTTATTTCCTTTATAGTACTGTTATAGAATCTGTACATACCTTTGCTCTATCAGTGGGTTCAGTTTCTTTGGAATTAATTGTTGCTCCATACTCTCTTGAGACAACGCAAAGGAACTCAGCATGGTCTTCATTCCCATAGTTGTACTGAGATCCTATATTGATCAACTGGAAAAAAATCAAAAACCAAGTTGTTCAGAATGGACATAAAGAAACCTTAACACATTGAGTGCCGCGTGACCCACACCGTGGGTCCGAATAACATGGGATTGCCTACCCCCGCCACACTCAACGTGTTAACATGCATTTAAAAAAGGTAGCAAAAATCCAAATTTACAAACAAAAATTAGCTACATAGAGTAGATGTGTGATACACAAAACAATTACCTGTTCAAATTTCCATCCATCAGAAAGCGTAGACACCATTTGAGTAAGTTCATCTTCATGACACTGTAGGACTCGATAGACAAATTTCTTTCCATTCTGCATTTGACTTAGTCTGTCAGCTGCTCGTTTTTCTCGATTGTTAATTCGTTCACTCACAAGTTGGATGAGTTTGGTAATGTTATAGAACTCAGCTTCTTCCAATACACCTGAGAAAGATATCAACATATCAATCATGTAATGTGTCATTCTGTAGTTACGAACTGGTATTTTTAGAGAACTAATACCTTCTTCTGTCAAATCCTTGTTTATAATAAGTTTTCCATGTCTCAAGTAATTCAAAATGGGACTGAAATATGTAGGATCCCTGTCAATTAAATAAGCTCCGGTCTCATCCTGAAACAAAATAAGCAAAATTCATTTAATAGTCAGCCTTTCCAAAATAAGATCAGGAAAATACAAGACGCTGAGCAGAAACACCGTTATTTATTAATATTTTTGTAAAGGAAAAACAATAAATGAGAATAATCAGATCTGACAGTGGTTCCTTTAACCTCCCACGACATGTCAGTCGGGAAACTTATGTTCAGAAAACTAGCAGAGTTGCTTCTTAGACGGTATTAGAATTCGTAACTAGAATTATTTTTGTTTTATTCTCTTTAAACTATACGTACCCTGTCCGAAATTAATTCAGAGTCTTGACAAAGTCTATATAAAAAAGAATTTGGATCACCCGACAGGGTTGTTTTGGTTGTCAGAAAGTGAGTCCCACCAACATTTAGCCGAACCCACTGTTTACTATTTTTGCTTGCTGTTGTTTCACTGTCCATTACGTCTTCGTGGGAATTTTTTTCCACCTTGTCAGCCATATTTGTTATCAATTCAATGTTTATCCGTGATTTATCCAACTATCTATCCATCTATCTATTTACACCCCGACACCGACACAAGGGAGAGTAGGGGCAACCGACCGACCAAAATCGAGAAGTCGAAAGAGGCGAGAGCGGAAACGGGGAGAGGGGGAAAGGGAAATGGGGGTAAAGTGGGGTAAAGAGGAGGGAAAGGGGGAGGGGAGAGTGAAGTGTAGGGAGCCTGGAGGGGGGAGAGTCGCAGAGATCACGTGACCGTGGGCCCGGCGGGTTCCAACGCGTTTTTGAGCTATGTGAAATGTCTCATACCTGGCTGGCGCGCACGCGCAGTCCGAGCTAGCAGACGATCAGGCCGGACCCTCCGGTGCAAGCACGGCAGGTATGAGGCATTGTGCTGGACCCCGCCAAAACACATTGGAACCGCACCAATCAGAGCGAAGCATGTCACGTGATCTCTGCGACTCTCCCCCCTCCAGGCTCCCTAGTGAAGTGAAGAGGACTATGCGTGGATGACGCATGTATTGATATGTATTCAACCAACATTTGATATCTATTTGTTGATTGTCCTTGATTTTACCGTATCTTCTTGGAAAACCCGCCAGTTGACTTTGTAACAGTATTCAGTGATACCTATATCCGAAGCAAAGCATGGCTGACCCCCGCATCAAGACGATAAAAATAAAGACGGGAGTTGTGCGACGCATTGCCAAGGAGAAGGTGATGTACGAGAAGGAAGCAGAGGAACAGAGAGGACGTATTCAGAAGTTTAAGGACGAAGGTGAGTTATCTCAAACATAGTGGAAAGAAAACTTTAATCCTCGAAGTCGCTTGTGCAGCAATCGGAGAAACTTGTGCTTTGTGCTAACGTCCCCTGTGCAGGACCCCTGACACATGTGTGGAACGCGGTGGGTGTTTTCCTTCTCGGTCGGCGACTTGATTTGTTGCTAGTACTGAAGTACTGTACCTTTAGGTTTTGCTTGACTGTCAAGTTCAATTTTTCAAATTTGCCCCTGCTTTAATAAATAATGAAAAATTCCAGGGTGTATTTTAAACTGCTCACTCATGTAAGCATGAGTATCAACATTATTTTTTAAACTTACACATTTTTATGTATTGTTCTTTTTAGGAAAAGATGAACATGATATCAGAAAACAAGAAGAAGTTCTTTTGGAGTCGCTTATGATGGTTCCAGATTGCCAACGCCGCTTATTAAAAGCATACCAAGACCTGAAAAACATTTTAGAAACTGAATCAGAATTGAAAGGACTCGAGGAATTCAAGGCAGCAGAGAAAGTGCTAGAGGAAGCAGCACCTCAACTTCCTGAGTCTTCCCTTGCTCATTGTTGTTGATATATTCCGGATCACATCTGCCTTTTCTTTATTTTCTAAATCTTAAATCTAATCATCTCATTATTCTAAACTCTTTGAATTTGTTTAATTGATTGTGTAGGCGATGTACCTGGAACTGGCTGTTGCTTTGTTTGCTCTGTTTCTTATTTTTCTAATAATAGTGATCCTGAGGTGTCGTAATGAAGCTTCAGGAACTGTGATGAGGCCTCGATCAGGGCACTCAGATCCTTATCATGGGGTTGCGACTCATATCAACATTAAGATAAATCCATTCTATGCTCCAGCAAGAATGCAAGTGTAGTCGCACGTCTCGATTTATCTTTTAATATATATGAAGTGTATTTTTATGAAAATTAAAGTGAAAAGTGCAAGTATTTTTATGAAGATGGATATCAACAACCCTTTACCTCCTGGTGAAGGAATGCCAAGTGGACAGAATGAAATTGGACATTTATTCCATGCAGGACATTCCTATGGCAATTCATATAACAGGCCACCACCCTTCTGGAGACCTCCACCTCCACCACCACAATTATGTGGGTATGGGCCTAGACCCTTCCCCTTTGCACCATTCCATCCATTCGGCTGTGTTCCTCCAATGTTCAATGTTCCTCCTCCGCTGACAAGTTCTGAACAATCAAGTGTTACCCCTTCTACTAATGAGGACAAGGCCTGGCTTCAAAACTGGCTGCAGTTTCGACCACTCAAGGAACAACACAAGATTGCTCCTCAAGAAGGGTTATCAATCTCTGCAGCTCAATCAAAATTGAGACACTGGATTGAAACGCTTAAAGACCTTAAAGACAATTATGATCATCTTCACAAAATTGTCAGTCTACCTGCAAAAGAATGGAGTGATGTGTGGTCCACTGTCGCAGTAAAGAAATTGGAAATCAGTAAATTAATGAACTCCTTCAATGGAAAAGCCTTGGAAAATTTGCGAAGAAAACATGTGAAACAAGTGAATAAACGTACAAGGTTGAAGAGACGGCAGGCAGAGCAGAAAAAGGAAGTGTATCTAGCTCAACTCAGATGTCAGAGGTTACACCAAAAAGCTGACGCTTGGCTTGCAGACATGCAGTTGACAGTTGATAGAGCTCGTAAGGTAAGCGTAAAATATGTTTAGAACCTGCTGTGAAGTGGGCTTTAAGACCATTATTGTATCCTACCACACAACTTTGGGGTCGGGCCTCTTTTTTTGCATAGTAGAAGTGATTGTGAGTAGCCAAGGAAGGTAAAAGGCTTAGCTTGTTGAGCTGCACATACTCTAACAGGATTACTTGGCAGAAGGTGGAACATCCACCAGTCACAGGGCTTCTTTCCAGCTTAGGAACACAACAGGGATCACTTACAGCCATTTTCATTCTGTTTATAATTATCTAACTTAATCTGCATGTAGGTTGCGTATTGATTTAAAAAAAACAAAAACTTGTTGCTTCGACAGGATGAAAAATTGAAAAAGGAGGCAGATTCTGTTTTATCAGAGGTAACGCGCCGGCAATCTGACGGCCGCCGTCAAGTAGCTTTGTTGGAGGCACTTCAGAAACTACATCAGGCTCGCTTACAAGATATTGAAGCTCGTGGAAATAAGCTCTGTGGAGAAGAAAAACAGGCTGCCTCTCATTCTACGAAAGTACTAAGTAAGTCTTCATTGCAATATGCTTTACTGCTGTTACCACTGTGAAACTCACCAGTAATTCCTATTTCCAGATCATTTACTAACTTTGTGGTCTAAGAAAATGGAAGAATATGCCAAGGAGGAACATGCTCTACGTGTTATGCTTGAGGAATCTGCAGCCAAACAAAGTGATTTAGAAATTCAGAACACACGCCACATTCTCACGGAATGGGAGAAATGTCTATTTGGTCCGGATAGTGCTGATAGTTTATTTGATATCAATACTCTAGTTTCCATTCGGTATGCTATATTCTATCCAATCAATAATAATAATGATTTGCAGCTTTTCATGAATTAACTCAATATGTACCCTGTACAGGCATGCTTGGGACCAGTACATGGTACCTGAAGGATTGGTGGTGCCTATGGCATCAACAATCCCTGTGGGCTGGGTGTTGCCAACAACTCCGAGTTCATCTGAGTGGCAGCAATATTTATTCAAGAAATGAAGTTGCCATCTCCATATCCTTTAGCTTGGACTGAGTGCTTCGTAGTGTTATTGCAATTTGTCTGAATTGAGCCAGTAATTAGTGAAAAACTAGAAAGTTCAAAAATTGACTTTGTTCAAAATTTTGCAAAGGTAATTAATGTATTATATTTGAAGATGTGTGTACCTTTCACCTGATAAATGCCATAATCATAAGTCCTACTGAACATAGCAATATGTATTTTCATCTGATGTATAGTTAAAATGCTGACCTTTTCAAAGTGGTGTAAATTTGCTGCATGAACAATCCATCAGTAATTGTGAAGTTTGATTGTCAAATGTTAGTGACCATAATATAAGTTTAAGGTTGTTTTTTTTATTGTTTAAAAACAATAATAATTAAATTAATTGTAAAGTCTTTGTCATCTGTGTGTGCGCCTGTGTGTTTGACATTTCCAGCTATAGGCTTTGTAGTTATCCATAAGCTCCTCATGTTAAATTTGTGCACTTTTATTACTAAACAGATGGTGTTCCAAATCCAAGTGTAAGCGCTTGTGAGCTATTCACTGTTAAATCGTTAACACTGGTGTTCTAACTTGTTGAATGTCTGGAGACATGGTAAAAAATGGTTCAGGCAAAGAAAGCCAAGTTTATCATACTAAATAAATAAAATTTAACAAAAATTTTGTCATTTATACGTCTGTTACTATGCTATAGTCATTTTGAGAATTGGAAACAAACTAAAATGGAATCTTGTATGCTATTTGCCTAAGAAAACTTCAAATAATTCACACACAAAATTACTCAGTCAAAATTAGCATGTACTGTTACATTTAATGTCACACAAAAATGAAACATATCCCACCTTTTTCCTTAGGTAGTTACATTACAGATACTATACAACAGTCTAGAAACATTATTCTCAAATATTAGCACAAGCTCTATCCTAATAATTATGTGATGTGTGTGTTTCTTTTGTATCTCAGCAAGGAGACAACAAACTGATTAAAGCTTCTGGTGCAGCACTGACAGTTGTACCAACTTATATTCCATATTGAGGAAAATTCCATGAGAAGACGAACATTTTCAAAAACATTACCAGGCCACATCTCCCTTTCCTAGAAATTTTTCCTTGAGAATTCTAACCATACTAGTCCCCACTTATTTGAGAATAGGAAATTACATTCTCATTTAACATTGCATTTACTATCACAATTTAGCTGCACTTTGCATGTAGCTCACATTATAAATGTACAAAAAGTCTCAACAAAATAGGTTGGTCTCCAACATTCACTGCAAAACAAAACAAAAATGAGATGGGCATAAAAGGGATCCTGTCGACATGGAAAACTGAACGCTGATAAATAATGAACAGCAAAGTTTACATGTCATGTAATAAAATAGAAGCATTCATATTTCTCTCTTGTAATAGAAGAATATGCAACTCCTACTTACATGATACAACCAAGAAATATTACAAAAAAAAAATAAAGCAAAATTGAAACAACAGAAATTCAAATTCTTATTAACACATTTGGAGCTAAACATTTTTCAAAAGTTCAGACATATAACAGGGGCACATAACAAATAAAAACACTTCATCTGCTCTTTTATGTAAGATGCTACACCATAGATACAGAATATGAACTAATGCAGATTCCTTTTACAACAAACTGATCTTTTTGAGAAGACTTAGAGCAAAAAATGTAAGATTGGCTTACAAATCACAGTAACTCCATCATAGTTGACTCATTCTGTGTTCAGTTTTAAGGCAGAGTCAAACTCATGGTAAAACACTAAAAATACAACAAAAATTCTATTAAGATATTGCAATTTATGTGAATTTGTTAGTGACTTTGAAGGAGAGCACACAAGAAGAGTGTCCAAAAATGAATGCTATTTTGTTTGCATACATTCCACAGGTTTCTGATCAGGGTATATATACACTGTACAACTTCTAATAAATTCAAGTCGATTGTTTCAAAATTAATGGTTCTTCAGTTCAAAGGTGCAGCATTTAAAACTGAAATACAATGATTGAGTTTGCCATTCTATGTTACACAAATGAAAAAGGAAATTTTTTAAGTAGTTAGTGCTGTAATCTTGAACTTGGCATGATAACTAGTAACAGATTTCTTGACTTCTTCAAGTAGTTGCACTGAAAACATTTATTTTGTTCATAAGCCAATAGAGCCCACTAGCCCACAGGCTAACTGTCACCCATGCAATCTGGGAAAGGGAACTACACATGTATGCTAAAAACCTCTCCATTACCCTGAACACAGCTTAAGTGGGATTTTTTTTAGAAGTAAAGCTTGATAGATGTAGAATTAAAACATTGAGATGAAATAATACTGAATTTATACTGACATTGTAAAAGAAATTATAGATTAAAATTATCTTAGGAATTTTAGAGATTTTTCATTGAGGCAAGAGACTGGTTGAAACTGCAAGCACTACATGAAGTTGAATCACAATAGAAGTGTTACAAGCCCTTTAAAATACACATCACCACAAACAGATGTAACATACGTGGCCTTCAACCTCACATAAATATGAAAAGGCCAAAAACCTTTTACCTCAGTCGAAAAAATAATCACAGATTTGCTAGAGAAGACAGATAACTATTGCCAGAGGCCTGCATAATTTCCATGCATATTAGCAGGCAATGGTCCACCAGCAGAAAATAACCGAATCCCTGATGCATCATAGCAATGGGTGTAAATTGCCGGAGTATATTTCACTTGCTGGAATCCATCCATGAATTCTTCATTTGGAAACTGAGGAGATAAAATAAACATTAAAAAGGGATATCTTACATTTGCATGAAAATTACTTACTATTACATGGAAATGAAAACTTACCACATATCCCCGAGATGTTTTTAAAACAACAGTTCTGCTAGAATTAATGCTAGATTCAAGGTACTTCCCAGCTCTTAAGTCATAGAACATGAGCATACCTACGCCTGTCCCGATGGTAAGAATATTACCTTGAAAACTGGCTGATCGTATACCTACAGAGAGACACAATTAAATGGTTAGAACATCAAGTGTCGTTAAAAATTGATTAATATGAATAGGGCTAGATCTCCACATGAAAAGAGAAATTGCACCCTTTCTCTCATCACTTACCACAACCAGTGTAACGGGAATTAATTTTTCTATGAGCCTGCAGTGTTCTTTGATCGAGCAGTAAAGTATATGAACGGCAACCAATAGCATATAAACCAGATTCTGATACTGCCATACACACATTCTCCTGACAGGATGGTAATTTTCGAGACAACTTCTATATGACAGGACAAAAAAAGATTTGTTACAAGTGGCTTCTTTGACTGTTTTCAGAAAACTTTTCAGGACAAATGGTGATTACCTGCTGAAAACGATCAGCACTCCAAATGTGAATATAACCATTTAAGGAAAGAGCAGCTAATTCTCCTTCTTTTTTGTTGAAAGCAAGAGCTCGGACTTTCTGAGCAGCCTGGCATTCCTTTACCTCAAGAGGCTGAACATGGCTATGAAAAAAAGAAAAACATTGTATAAAGCTGTACCAGGGTACTTATAAACAAGAAGAGAGATGCTGTATCAAATATGTTTGATACATGAAGAAAGAACTATGTTATTTAAGTGTGCCTGTATGAGGTAAATGTGGACACTTTCAGCTTGTAAATTAAGAGATTGTCGCATTGTCACAACTTTCAATTTTACATGGTTTGCTGTTTGATAGGTGCAGCTAGATGGCAGTTTCCCACATGCACCAAATCGGCTTGAATTATTTGACAACAAACATTTTTTATTTTGTTTATACTAAGTAAATCAACATTAAAATTGGTTTCAATTTTAGCAAATTCAATCCTGGATTATTTTATTAAGTTACTCATTGTTTTACCTATATAACGAGGGGAAAGAAACCAAAAAAACCTCTATTGAATAATTACTAGAACAAAACCTATAATTTGGTTATAAGGAACACGTTTTATCTTTTGAAGTTTTTGAGCTGAAAGTAGGGACCAAATTACACCATGCTGAGCACAATACTCATTCTTCCACCTTCCAAAAAAGGAGGAGGAGGATAGAGGTAAACATTGAGTTAAAAAAATGAGTAAAAATTGTTCGACACAATTTCAGTGTACAACTTACGCATATGTGGGTACTTCTTGGGTGCCTATTAATTCGTCTTCTTGTATTCTCCATAAGGCCATACGGGTATCTCGAGATCCTGACACAAGAAACTGGTCATCAAGCCAGCACATATCGAATACTGAGTCGGTGTGCGCATTCTGAAAATTGTTGGTAATAAAAGTTAATGAATGATTATTTAAGTTTGACACACTTTATACATATAAAAATGGTAATACTATTTATCTGAAGACATTCACCTGTCCAACACAAACTGGATCTAGGGTGGGGAGTCTATACACAGCTATCTCATTAGGGCTGGAAGCACCGGTAGCAAGCAAAGTTCGGGATGGATTTATTTGCACAGAATGTATTCCAGTTTGCTGCTCTGATGGAGGTCCAGGTAAACTTTGACGAGAACTTGAACCTTTTAGAGATGGAATTTTGTCCAATTGATGTTTCATCACATCATAAACCATAAGCTGAGAAAGAACCACACAAATTAGATGAACTCCGTGAGCCAATAGAGTTGTTCGCATTCTTGGTTGAGCCTCAAACTGTACCTTGTTGCATTTTGTGCCAAACACAACCTGCCTATCACTCAACCATTGTGAGCAAAACACTTTATTAATGTTGCCAAGTTTCTGAATCGGATGCTCTTTGAATTTTTCTTGTGTTAATATATGTCGTTGCCCATAGTAATTTACAACTGATCTGATTTCTTTCATTCCTGTCTCACGGCTGTGCAAATAGTCTATAAAATTATGGGAAGTCCTCAAGAATATTTTCTCGTTGGGATCGTTTTCGAAGTCATCGTCAGAACTGTCGTATACAATGAAATCATCAGGTTTTTGATCGGATTTTCTTGTCTTCTCCTGACGTTCCTTCCTGCTACGCTCTTTTCTCTCAGTCAGACGGGACGGGTGAGCACAGGGAGGTGCTTTCCCATAGATTGGCATCCGCGTTGTTTGAGCCATGATCAGATAACAAGGGCCAGAGGAACCGCGCAGCGTAGTGATGGAAGGTGAATCTAAATAGACTCTTTTATCCTGGTAAAGGTCGGACCTTCTCCTTCTTCACTGTGCCCCCTAAGGAGGTTAGCAGTATGTTTGAATGCATTGTATCAAATGAACCGCGAGCCACAAATCACACTGGAGCACACGCATTTCACGAAAAGCACTTTGTAGTTATTTTCGACTAGTTATAATTTGATAAACGTCACTGATCTGCTGATTCGAAATACTTGCTCGTAAATTGTCTAGTTGTTGCTAGTATGCCAAGCAGCCAAGTAAAGAAGAGAAAGACGGACTCTGCTCTTGTCTGTGTCGAAGCAATGCCAATGCGCGCTGTTGCCAGCTCTAAAGTTGTTGACGGAATTTATAATTGACGTAGCTTTGATAGCAAAGAAGCTGTGCGGACCTCCGCGGACGAACGCGATCAACGGCCTTACTCTCGCGACTGACTGCAAGGACACCAAACTCAAGAGTTTGGGTTGTTAATCCTCTATGAAAACATCGGGTGAATTACGCGCTTCTGCTCTGCGTTTTTCTTCTGCTGTGATCATGTCGTACGCGCGCGCTCCGCGCGGTAGAGTTGGGAACCACGTTGGCCGCGGCGGCTTGTTCAAAACCGGGTGCAATCGCTGCTGGCGCTCAAGGGCTAGTGGGGTTAGCATGCCGACAAGACTTATCAGACCACACGTAAACATTTCGACTTTGCGTGAGAAAAACGTAGAACTCATACGAAATCAGTGGTAAGACACGTTCAGTGCGGCGTGACCACATTGTGACCATAGTAATGTGCCATGCTGGTTGTTCCAGCCCCCCAAGAAGCACACAGTCGCACTGAACGTGTTAATCTGGGGCAACCCTGCTTACAGCCGACGCAGTTGTAGATGGGGGGTCGCTGGAACAGATAGATGCGGCGTGCTCATCGCGCACAGCCCCAATCCAACAAAAAAGGCATTCCCCGGGCGGGGAAGGTGTGCTTGCGCCCCTCACAGCCCACAGTCCCTCACCATACTTGTTGGTGCCTCTCGTTGCAAATCGACAGGATTGGGAGTGAGAAATGAAATCTGACGTCGAGGTATTCAACAGAAAGACAGAGGTTCGACTCAATCAGTATTATCATGAGTGGAGAAGTCCGTGATGCTGGTGTGCTGTGTATGCCCATGTGTGTGCGCTGTCTTTGACAGCCTCAGGGGGGGGG